ATTTCATTTCTATAGGAATATTCCCACATATACACAAAGATTAATATACAAGAATTGGACATATATTGATGGTGGCATTGTTTTTTCTCCTCTGCAATAAAAACCACATTCAAAGTGGCATTGTTTAATAAATTTAAATGTTTTAATAAGGGGGACTGTTACATAAATTATGTAAATTTACAGTATAGAATCCAGTTATTTATTCAGTTAAAATAAAGCCTTTATTTGAGATGGGGTTTTGCTCTGTTACCCCATAGGCTAGAATGCAATGGTGCAATCATGGCCTACTGCAGGCTTGAACTCCTGGCCTCAAGTGAGTCTCCTACTTCAGCCTCCCAACAGGCTGGGATTACAGGTAGGAGCCACTGTACCTGGCCTAAAGTAGATTCTTGATATGGTAACTTCTCACGGATATATTTTTAAAGGAGAAACAAAGCAACTAATAAAATAAAAATATATGAAATGATTTCATTAGGAATGAATGGATGTGTGTTTCACATAATGAAAAACTAAAGCTGCCTAACTCCTTCCAAACAAATTTGGAAGGCCACACTATTAGTTAGCAATGGCTAATTAGCTGCTTTTGCAAAGGATACTAGAATAACATGGCAGTGCTGGCAGGAATGTCGAAGGGGCCTCTCATTTTCTACCATAAACATTGTATGGTTTGATTTTTGTTCTGCACTGAGCATGTCCTGGGTTTGTAAATTTTAATCCAACTTAAAGCATAAAGCTATAAAGTCTTATGCCATGATATTCTTGATTTGGCAACAACGTGTCTGTTCACTTCACTTTATCTTACTGTCATAAGCAAACACTAGTTAGAGTCCCAGACTAAACCTAGAGCATATAACTGAACTTTGTGTTCTTCAGGCAGTAGTTTCATTCTCAAGTAAGTGAGAGGAGTCTGCTGTAGTGGGTCCCCATGTGTGCTGAATATTTCAGAAATCAATAGGATGGGCAGCCACTTTACATTGAAAGCAGCTCTTGATGACATCTCACTAGCAAGAGTGCTTCTCATACATCTGCAGCAGGTATGGATCACTCTGTGGCATGGCTGACTGTTTACATCCTGTGCCAACTCAGCTGATATGTAATTAACATTATGTCTTGATAGCCTGCTGTTGTTTGTAGCAACTTCAAGTCATGATTCTGACACATCAACAACAAGCAGTGAACACTTTGATACAGGGCCAAAACAACACAGACATCTACTCGGTTTCCAATGATGTCATGCAGTCAGTGGCCTCATGAGCACAGGACTCATTAATGCCATCACTCCCTGGCCATTTGTCTAATATAGTAACACTGTTTTGTACCTCATGAAATGAATGATCCAAACAGATATGATTACTCACATATCTGTTTGTCTTCAGATCAACTGTAGTTATGTGCATCAATGTAATCATAGCAGTATGGCAGAGGAAATACAAGTTTGACAGAACTGGATTAACTTAACTCTACCACTTACTAAACTGCAATATCCTAAGTTCCATAACCTCTCCCTGAATTATTTTCTTATCTGTACAATGGGCATAATAATAATACCTATCCTCATAGGCTTATTCTGATAAGATAAAGTATTAAAAATGTTTTACATAAATGCTTGCCATACAGTAGTTGCTGAATGATTATTAGATTAAATATAGCAATAATTATATTAATAGGGGAGTGCTTCAGAATTTTTTATTTACTACAGAATATGCAACACCTGGGACATACATTTTTGAATAGGAATTAGTAGAATATAGAATGAAGTAATAATTCATTTGCTCAAATCTCAAATACAGAGTTTTAAAGGTATTAAATTATTTTATTATAGTAAACTACAATATATTAAAGTATCATAAGTATTTTACGCCAATGATATCCTTCAAATCTAATATTAAAACACTAAACAAGCACAATAAAAATTAGTAACAAACAAATACAAGTTTCATTCTGGTATTATTTCAAGTATATTCTTCAAAATCACTGTTCTTTCAATTTGGCTTGAACCAAAATTTACCTTCATTAAAAAAATGCAGCCTCTTAGAAAGCATTAAGATCTACTTATTACTACAACCACATTGGCATCAGAATATAAACAGAGACCAAAATGATCTTACTTAGAAGCCAAGTAAACACTCAATATTAACAAATCATTTATTTTCCCACCTTTTGGCTCCAATTTAAATGTTTATATGAGAGTCTTTGAAAAGTCTTTTCACCTCAGTGGCTCCTTGAGTGTTCATTTTGAACAATGACTTTACAGCTGGCCAAACCTAACTCTCAATCAATTTTTATGAGTACAAATTCTTGAGCTGATGGTTGGATTTCCAGCGATATCACTCATATAATACACACTCACAAGTAGTGATGAGATTCACATTATCAACAGAGCACCATTCTGCCGATGGCAGCGGCAGACACAGCAGGGGTATACTGTCCTCCTTATGAAAACGATTCCTTCGCCTTTCAATAATGCAGCCTGCAGGTATGGACCTACAAGCTGTGTGTGGGTAGAATCAGAGCTGCCTTTAAAACTACTAATAAAACTACCCAGTTCCTCCCAATGCGTCATTCTCATTGAATCTCCACACATATCCATCTTGATTTTGAAATGTGTGCCTTCAATTTGCCTTCTCATTACATTCCAAATTGAATGGAAGATTCAATTGCGTTTAAAACTTCTCAGAATACTGGCATGGATTCTCGGTAAATTTGGGCTTGGAATTCTCTGCAGGAATGCATGTGGATATATTCACATATATGAGTATAAACTAATTATGTAATGCTTAAATATGACTTCAAATTTTAAGAAAACACCTCAGGTAGAATAAATTCAAATTCAAATTCAGTTTGGTGGTATTTTTAAAAATTTAAATTATGAAACATATGAGTTTGCCTACTTTGATATATGTTGAATTTTGCCTTTAAAATGTAAAGCATATTTTTGTCATTGAGAAAAATTTTAGCTCCCCAAAGACATGGCTAATATTCCCTCAAAAGCATATCAATTAAGAATCTCAAAGTATTACAATTCCTTTCTTCATTTCTAAGCTCTCTTATGAGTAATAATCAAAGTATACACGTTTGTCCTATAACTTCTGATTCTTATGATCATGTGCTAGAAAGCAAGATAAGGAGCAAAGGATTACTTTGAACCTTACCTAGTCAAAAGCATGAGGTGATCATTTGACCTCTTAAGACTGATCTACAAAAGCCTAACTTTCATATTCAAACAATTAGTTAAAAACACTTTAAAAAAAAAACAGTGACTAATGCAAATGATATGCTGAACATTTCTAGTTATTGGGTTACATTCCCATGTTCTTTCATACCTATTTCCACCAGTTAAGATCTATGCTTACTAAGTTAGCTGAGTTTGTTCCCAAACTAGTTTATGCTAACATTAGCTACTGAAATTATGTAGTTAAATGAGATTTTACGTAAACGCATAAAATAACGGAAAAGCTGCTCTTTCTATGAAAAATTAGCTGAATGTTTTAGAAAAAGTTGATACAGAAAAATCACTAACACAACCTTGTCAAATTAGATATGGACGAGATATGTCCATAAGATATAAATAAATGTCCAGAAATATCTACTAAACTTGCTTATGAAATGCATTTAAATTCATGCACCAATGTAAAAAACTAAACCTGGAAACTGTAGAAGATGCCTTAAGGTTTTTGAAAAATAGATCACTCACAGCCCCAAACAGGTGACTTTTTCAAAGCAAATGCTTGGGCTCTATATCAAAAAATTAACTGTGTGTGCATGTGTATGTATCTTTTACTAAAGTGGATCAAATATTAGTTCTAATCACGTAAGAAGTAGTTATCTTTTAGTCAGGAAAAAAAAAAATAGAGTGGCTGTTTGCCATGTAGATAAAACTACTTTTCACTGAGCTTTCACACTTTTCATGGAGTTACCAGGCTATCATGGGATATCAATAGTGTAATTTTATCCAGCAATTGATGGATGGCTGTAAGTATCGCTGGAAGCCAGCAAATGATAATTTTCCTTCCTTGGCATTTTACCATGTCATTCTGAACTAGCCCAGTTAAGCTTGTTTAATGTGTATATAGGAATCAATGAGATTTTACAGAATGTTTTATGTTAAAAATTCCAAGAGTGATACTCTTTTCATGTATTGGGAACAAAATAGCTTGGATTTCTCATGGACTGGAATGACAATTATTTAGAAAGGCATTCTTTAATATAAATTTAACTTAATTAGTATAGCCTATGAGCAAAGGTTATCCACGATTACAAAAGAGGAGTCAGCCAAACTGAATGTTCTAATAATCTATGTTCAGAATCCAATCATCTATAAATATACACCAGTCAAGTTGACTTAAAAACCTATTCATGTGAACAGGTGATTTGTTGGCTTATTTGTATTAAATGTGGCATATTTGAATTAAATGGCAGTGTATTTGCATTAAATATGCCAGTTAGTATAAATATTTATATTAAAATGAGTGATTATAAGTATTATGCTTTATATATAAAATATAGAATGATGCAGTGGTTCTCAGGGTATAGTCTTGGAATCTCAGAGATCACCAAGATCTTTCCAGAGGGTCTATAAGGTCAAAATTATCTTTATAAGAATATTCAGAAGTTATTCCCCTTTTTCATACTTCTTCTCCCATGAGTATAAAGTTGAGTTTTTAAAAGGCTACATTTTATCTGATATTACAACAAATTGAATGCAGAAGCTGATGCAAGAATACAGTTACGTTCTATTAAGCCGGAGAGTAAAGAGTGCAAAGGCATAAAGCAATGCCACTTATTTCACTAAGATGTTTGGCTTGGAGAACAGTTATTTTATACAAATATAAAACAGTTACATTTAGCATTAGCATGTAATGAATGTACTGCTTTTATTTAAACTGCCTTAAACATATTTTAATTTCTGAAATGGCAAATGTCGATAGATATAACCCATATAAACGAATTTTGAGAATTGCTATCTTAGAATGATTATTTAATAGGAAAAAATGACTAACCTGAACTAGAACAAAGTAACGTTTTTTCCATCTTTTCCAAACCTTCTGTCCAAGGGCATACAGATATCTGGAACGAAAAACAAAAAGCCAAAGAATACTTTAGATGAATAATGCTGTGCTTCCATGTAATCACGTTTCTTCCACAGGTATTTATTTTTAAGACCAGCCTGCTAAAGGCAAAGTTTAGCTCATTTGGAATGTGAGACAACATACAGCTTCTGTGTAACAAAATGGCTTAGCTTATTCTGGGTTCTTGAAAGAGAATTGATTTATGTGGCTTATCAATTTGTCAGTCCTTACCACAAATTGAGCAAAGTAGGAGTTAGAAACGATAATCAAAGAACCAGCAGGAATTTTATTCTTACACACAATTCTTAGAAGAGACAAAGGCTATGAATTGAGGACATGGTTCTCAATGCTTCAGTTCTCCAATGACTGGGGCTGAGTAGTGCGGCCTGAGGAGAAACCAGCTGCACAGCCAAGAATTCAGGGTGAAAGGACACTGTCCAGATGGGTGACCCCAAAATGTGCCTGCACCAATCTCAGTTCCATGTCCTCACCTATCAAATGAAAGGATGGATTTGCTGATTTCTAAGGTCTCTGCTAACTCCACCATTATGGGATTTACATGACTTATGAAAGCATCTTGCTGCAAATTTTTTTAACTACAAAGTTTAGATAGTAAAAAAGATGCCATTGTGGGGTTTTATATAGTTTTAGCTGGGGGTTTTCTTTACCTTTGCATTGACCCTAGTAGGCTGAATTGAAATGATTAGCCAATCACTTGAGAATATTATTCTTACTGAATATATAAATGATATACTGAAATATCATGGAGGAAGAAGAAATTAAAAATTAGTGTGACCTGGTTGTGGAGAGCTATTCCAAAATTATGCCACAAAATTACAAGCACACTTCCTACAAAAGTGGAAAATATTGTTGGAAGTTTAAAATATGACAGGTAGAGGCCTACTTTTAAAAATAAAGATTTTTAAAAATATTTTATCACAATCCTTTATTCTGAAAAGAAAGTTTACAGTGCAGAGGCTGTTTAAACTAAATTTATATACAATTCTGAGTGCTTTTTTTTTTTTAAAGCATTATGATTAACAGTTTATTAGGGGCTTAAGATTTTTAGACTTGCACAATTTTTAAAGCTAAAGTCTTAGGCTGAATTTTTAGTTTCTGTATAATTTAAATAATTCTCTTTTACGAAACACCACAAACATACTGTTTGCTCCCCCCTTTAAAAACAGTGACATAAGAAGTTGGCTAAGGTGTGGTGAATGAATGGGTACTCATCCACTGCTAGTGGTGTGTAACATCTCGGGAGATGATCTTTCTGTAAGATGGCATGTCCTTACATAGAAATAGTCATACTCTTTCATTCCTGAATGTATTAAAGTAATAAAGTGATGAACATAAAAATGTATGCTATATAGATATGTAGGACAGTCTTGTTTATGTTATTGGTAATTGATAACAAATGTCCAATAGCAGTGAAATTATTCAATACATGCTGGCAATATACACAGAGAAATACCATGCTGCCAATGAAATTATGTTTTTAATAACATTAATAATATGGAAAGTATCACATTGTATACTATTATATGAAAAGCATAGGATTCAAAACCACACACAGGGTTAATGATTTGAAACTTGTAAAAGAATAAATAAAAATATTCCAAAATATTACTAATTATGTCCTTGAGTGGTAGAGTTATGGCAGATTTGTTTCCTTCTTTATTCCCTAAAATTCCCAGAAATTTTTAGAATCCAGGGGAGTTATTAAAAGTCAGAATAAAAACAAAGTTCTTGCCTTGGAAAGCATCACCCAAATGGTCCAAAACAATTACATATTTTCTTTTAGCACATCAGCTAACTGAAGTGTTTGGTGAACTTCTATTCAGCATTCACGGTACCCTTACTTCCATCATCTGTGCTTGTGGATGGAATGTAAATTTATTTAATGACTGGCTGAGACATTACTGCTTTTGTTCTCACCTGTTCATTGTTTCTTCTCAAGGTCGCCTTAGAAACCCTTTGCTCCACCTTTGCTCTAACTTCTAATTTCTTCTCTATGGTTCTAGTGACAGATATTTAGTTGCTCTCTTTCTGTCTTTCCTCTGCAATTTCCTGTTTTGAAATGCACATACCCAAACTCTTATTTCAGGGTTAACAGCAGTGACCTTGGCAGCTAGATACTGCGGACATGACAGACGCCCTCTACGAAAAAGTGCACTAGCAAGATGTGCACCAAATAGCTGGCTAGGAGCCACAGGGAGCATGTGGAAGGACCTTTGCCTGGAACCACAGCCTGCTTTTCAACCCTTTCAAAGTGTCTCTCTTTGCAGACTGCTGGGCAACTGGGTCACACACAAGCGAAAGTAAATAGTGATACACAAATCATCAACACCACAAGCCACTAACTGTCAGTCTTGCTGACAGTGAAGGTCCTGCGTAAAGAATAATAATCAGCTACATCATCATCAAAATGATAGATTAACAAGTCTGAATTAAAATGTATAGCTTCCTTAAAGACAAAAAGTAGGGGACAGTGGATACATATACATTTTATCAAGGAGTCGGTAGAAGATGTTATGAGGAACAGAATAAAAATGAATTTGTGATTGGAACCAAGGTAAGCATTTAAATGATGATTTCTGGGATTAGGTATCAAGTATCCCTGTCTAGCTGCCTTCCTCACTGAAACCTCCATCTCCTGGGTTCAAGTGAATCTCCTGTCTCAGCCTCCCGAGTAGCTGGGACTCAGGCGCCCATCGCTATGCTCGCCTAATTTCTGTATTTTTAGTAGAGATGGGGTTTCACCATGTTGGCCAGGTTGGTCTTGATCTCCTGACTTCATGATCCGCCTGCCTCAGCCTCCCGAAGTGTGGGATTACAGGCGTGAGCCACTGTGCCCAGCCCTAAAAGCAGTTTCTCAGCATAAGAAACACATTGAAAAATGAGTGATGAGCCAGATGCAGTGGCTCATGCCTGTAGTCCCAGCACTGTGGGAGGTCAAAGCAGGTGGATTGCTTGAGGATAGGAGTTCAAGATCAGCTTAGGCAACAAAACTAGACTGTCTCTATAAAAATATAAAAATAAAAATTAGCTGGGTGTGGTGGTATACACCTGTCTTTGCTACTTGGGAGGCTGAGGTGGGATGATCCCTTAAACCCAGCTGTTGGAGCCTGCAGTGAGCTATGACCATGTCACTGCACTCCAGCCTGGGTGACAGAGCAAGACCCTGTCTCTTAGAATAAATAAACAAATAAAGGAAAAATGAAGATGAAAGTGTTCATCAATATTATTTAAAAGTAAACACCCAAAAAATCCTAAAATCAAATATTAAAAATGTATAAGGTTGCCATTAAAAGTGAGACCAAATAAAGAATTACTAATGGTATGGGCAAATTCTTATAATATTAAGTTTTATAAATGCAGTCACACAAGTTCATATTAAATGCATAGAAAAACATCCAGAAAATGCAACAAAATGTTAAAATTATAGTTCATATCCGGCGAGTGAAATTAAAGATGAATTTCATATTATTCTTTGGGCCCTTCTGTATTTCCACAATGCATACATTGGCCATGTCTTCCTTTTTCTGTTTGAATAAAGTTTATTGGTATAGTTTACATAAAGTAAAACTTACGTGCTTACGTGTCTAATTTGATTAAGTGTTGACATAATCATGTAACCACCACCACAACCAACTAATAGAACATTTCCACCTCCCTAAAAGTTCCCTTATGCTTTGGTGATTCATCCATGTTGTTATATGTAATTAATATAATTGCTAACCAATAGATATTTCATTGTAGGGATTCACAAGAATGTGCTTATCTATTCACTAGTTGGTGGACATTTAAGTTGTTTCCATTTCTTTGGACATCATAAATAAAGCTATTATAAACACTTGTGTACAAGTATTTTTGTGTATGCATGTGTTCATTTCTTTTGGGTAAATATCTAGGAGTGGGACTGTGGGGTCACATTGAAAGTATATGTTTAACTTTACAAGAAACTGTCAAACTCTTTTCCAAACTGCCTATATCATTTTGAGTTACCAACTGCAAATATTTAAGAGTACATCTTACTTTTGTAATCAGAAAAAGTTACCATTATTAAATATTTGGGGGATGTGGTCATTATGACTATAAATATGCATTTCTGGTATGACTAAGTCAAATGCTTAAAGACCAAAGATAAAAGTCCTTTGTCTCATTATCTTGAGTACAGTGGAGACATCCTATAAGCTTTCATGCTTAAATGGGCTTTCTAGTTGTCAAGGTCATTCTTGAGTTTTGGAATTTATAATAGTCTAAATTCCTTGTTGATGGAATTTACCTCAGAAGAGCTAGAATGTGGAGAGAATGAGGAAAATGGAGCCAAAATCTTTTGACTATTTGGTAAATATTTGATAACCCATTTATTAGAAAACATCTACAAAACTAAGAAAGCATTTTCTCCTAACCCATCTTATACTTGGCATTGCTGTTGAATTACTGTTCTTTATTGTTTCTTAATATTCAGTGTTATAATTTTTTATGCATCTAAGTTCAAAAGGATTTCTATTTCAGAAAAATTTGTAAAAGTTACATTTAACCTGATATTATGCTTTACCAGGCAATAGATTTTGTTCATTACACTTACAGGTTCCAGTATCTTTAATTACTGAAAAATGAGTTACTCTATATAGAAATATTGTGTGTGTGTATATATATATATATATCTACAGCCAATTTTTAAAGAATTTGCATATAAAAACAGAGTTGACTTCAAACAGTTAAAAAATATATAACTGGGTCTTTAATGATTAGAAAGGCTCCAATAATAACTGAGAGTCATTGTTATAAAAATAAATTATAACTGCATAATTATGTAAAAGGAAAAGGCACAACTGATAAAATTAAATCTAACCATTTATTTGACATATAATGGAAATACAATTAGTTTATCAGATCTTTGATAGCTATTTACTTGCATTAAAATATCTGTTTTTAATGTTATTATCATTTGCATTCTGAGCAATTGGCATTTTACTGCTTTATAAAGTA